CATACTTCGGACATATTGTCAGGAGGGACCAGTCGCTGGAGAAGGATATCATGTTTGATAAGGTGGAGGGTCAGAGAAAAAGAGGAAGACCCCCAACGAGATGGATTGGTCAAGTGGCAGCATGGATAGACTCAAGCGTGGCAACAGTAGTGAGGTTGGCCCAGGATCAGGCAGTGTTTCGTTCTGCTATGCATAAGGTCGCTATGAGTCGATACCAATTCGATGGCACCTAACAATACCAAATCTTTATGGGAGCAGAAAGCCTCATCTTTCTCCCGCGGAGCAGCTGGTAGTTTTGAACTGCTGACCCTGAGGTTCGCAGCCCGATTCATAACCACTATGCTATCAGACCTCCTTGGAATAGCAATAAACAGGAAAACTGAAAAAAATGAAGCAGCAGCTTCCAGATAAATGCATACTGAAGGCAATAGGAGGCCATGGTCATCATAATCAGTATAGCAAAGATCAGAATCTTTCACTTAGAAGATTCCCTGGAGTATAGCAGATAAACTGAGACGTAAAGAAAGCCTATTGGACGGATGCATCCACAGGGGCAGCACATTGGACCCTGGAGTCCTCGCAGTGCGAGTATCATCACACAGAAACCACATCGTCCCCACTAGGCGGCACCGACGCCAACTGCACGCGCAGCCTCTGGACAGCCCAACCGCCGATTAACCGCCCGCTCCGCCCTGCGCGCGCAAATGCCCAGAGAGGCAGGGCCGAAATGCGCGCTCCTTGTTTCGTGAGCGGGAGTGTCACGTGCTGGGGGGCGTGGCCGGCGCTTGCGCACAGGAGCGCGAGTGTGTCGGACGGAAAAGGCGAGATGGAGCGACAGGGAGTACGCAGCGCTTCTTCCTCCTTGGGGGCGTCGGGGAGGGGACGACCGCGACCCCAGGCTTTTCTGGCAGGCCGAGCCCCGCCGCTTGTTCCCATTAAAGGGACCACCTTTTGCCCCAGACAACCCCGGTTTCCTCACAGACGGATTGGGGCCTGACTGACTGACTAATCTTGTGACTGACGCGCTGACAGCTTGGCTCTGACAAACAGGCTTCCGGGCATGGCGTGTGGCAAGAGCAGGGTAGAGAGAAGGTCAGACACCCATGCATTGCAATTTATAATTCTTTTCTTTACACCTCTTCTCCTTCCTTAAAGGACTTGAGGATGGTAGCAGTTAGGAGCCCAGGCCCTCCAGCGCCCCTCATCCAGCCTCTTCAGCCCAGCCCCTGCAGGTCTCCCCGCCTCCGCCTTGGGCCGCACTGCTGAGTGCCCCTTCTCTACCACCCCATCTTGGTGGTGCCCGCCCCCGCTTGGCCTTACTGTGATAAGGGTCCCCACCACGCTGAAAAGGCCCATAGAGGTGCCCGGGGCTGAGGGGTCGGGAGGAGGCCAGTCGTGTCCTCTCTCTATCTCAAGCCCTGGCTGTGCTCACAGGTAGACATGTCCCACGGGGAGGATCAGGACCAGGAGCTGCAGCCATTGGGGGACAGCAAAGAGCATTTGGAGGACGAGGAGACCCATGACGAGGAAGCTGGTGGTGGGCCAGCCAGGTGAGAAGCAACTGATCCAATGGGCCCAAATAGGTCCTGGGACCTTCTCATTCAAACCTTTCTTCCAGAAGATGACAGTGTCTGCACTTCACAGCCCTTCCATACATATTTATAGAGCATCTCCCCTGCACCAGGCCTCCTTCTACTTCTGGGGACACAGTAGTGAACTAACACTCGACAAGAGGAGAGAGACAGCAAAGGCATGACTAGTCAAGAGATGTTAAGTGCTGTAGAGACAAATGGAATGAGAATGATGGATAGCTAGTTTCATTAGGAGGGTCAGGGAAGTTTCCACTGAGGAGGTAACAAAAGACCCATGTGGCTAGACCTCACAGTGCTCCAAGCAGAGGAATCGCAGTTGCAGAGGACAGGAGGGAGCACTTTGCTGGAGCAGCATGAGTAAGAGGACATTATAAAAGATGAAGTCTGACATTGGATGTTATTTAACCCTAGTATGATGGAAACTCTGAAAGGGTTTGAAATAGAAAGGTGCCATGATATGACTATAGCAGGGGTCAGCAGACTGGCTGGTAGACCCAACATAACCTGTTGTTAAGTGCCATCAAGTTGTTTCTGACTCATCGTGACCCTGGTAAAGGGTTTCCAAGGAGTGTCTGGTGAGCTTGAACCACTGACCTTAAGGTTCAAACCCACCTTGTGGTGGCGTGTATCCCACAGCGCCACACTAGGACTCCCAATATGGCCTACCGCCTGCTTTTGTCAATAAGATTTTTATTGTAATGAAAATATACACAAGACCATTGCCAGTTAATTTCCACATGTTTTATTCAGGGTCATTGATTACATTCTTCATGTTGTATAATCATTCTAACTATCCTTTTCCAAATCATCCCAATACCATTAATAAAAACTCAATGACCCCTAGGCAAAAACACCCCTTCCCCTGCCCCTCCTGTCTCTGGTAACTACTCATCTCTGGTTTCTGAATATTTGCTTATTTTACCTAAGTGAGAGCATGTGGTATTTATCCATCTGTAGCTGACTTTACTCAGCATAATGTTTTTTCTAGGTTCATCTATGTTGCAGTATGCATTAGGACTTAATTTCCATATTCCGTGGTGTGTATACCACATTGTTAAAATCCATTCATCTGATAATGGGCATTTCAGTTGTTACCACATTTTGGCTATTGTAAAAAGGGCTCCAATGAACACTGTACATTTTTCTGGTTGTGTTCCTGCTTTCATTTCTGGGTATATATCTAGGATTGGATTGCTGGGTCATTTAGTCATGTGTTCAACTTTTGGAGGAATGTTGAACTCTCCCATAAAAAACTGTACCTATTTTACATTCCTACTTGAAATGAATGACGGTTCTAGTTTCTCCAAAACCTGTTTTTCTTTTCCCTTTTACTTTTGTTATCATTGCCTTTCTAATAGGTGTGAAGTGGTATCTCATGGTAGTTTTGATTTGCAACTCTGATGGCTAATGAAAATGAGCATCTTTTCCTGTGCTTGTTGGGAGTTAGAGTATCTTCTTTTTTTAACATGTCTCAAGTTCTCTGCCCAATTTTTGATTGGGTTATTTGTGTTTTATTGTCAAGTTGTAGAAATTTTATATATGTATTTGGATAATAGATCCTTTTCAGATACATGGTTCCTGAAAAATTTCTTCCAATCTGTGTGTTGTCTATTCACTTTTGATAAACTCCTTTGATTAACAAAAGCTTTTAATTTTTATGAGGTTCCGTATTTTGTCTTTTGTCGCAGGGCTTTGTTGTCATGTCTGATATGCATCGTTAAAAACTAGGTCACACAGCATTCTTTTAAGAATTTTATGATTTTAGTTTTCACACTTATGTCTTTGATTTGGTTTTGTTTACGGTGTAAGGCATGGATCTGAATTTATTCTTCGCCATGTAGATATCCAATTTCCCCAGCACTATATGCTGACAAGCTATGGAAAACATTGCAAAGTATGAGTATTCTGGAACACTTAATTGTGCTCATGAGGTTATCTGTATCTGGACCAAGACTGAATGGTTTAAAATTTAAAAAGGTGAGTCACAAGGTTGTATTCTTTCACCATACTTATTCAACCTGTATGCTGAGCAAATAATCCGAGAAGCTGGGTTCTATGAAGAAAAATGTGGCATCAGGATTGGAGGAAGACTTATTAACAACCTGCGATATGCAGATGATACAACCTTGCTTGCTGAAAGTGAAGAGGAATTAAAACATTTACTGATGAAGAAGATCAAAGGGCACAGCTTTTGGTATGGATTACATCTCAATGTAAAGAAAACAAAAATCCTCACCACTGGACCAATAAACAACATTCTTATCAACAGAGAAAAGATTGAAGTTATCAAGGACTTCATTCTTCTTGGATCAACTATCAATACTCATGGAAGCAGCAGTCAAGAAATCAAACGACATATTGCATTAGGCAAATCTGCTGCACAAGACGTTTTTAAAGTGTTGAAGGGCAAAGCTTGAGGACTAAGGTGCGCCTGACTCAAGCCATGGTATTTTCAATAACCTCATGTGCATGTGAAAGCTGGACAGTAAATAAGGAAGACCATAGAAGAATTGATGCTTTTGAGTTATGGTGTTAGAGGAGAATAGTGAAACTGCCATGGGCTGCCAAAAGAACCAACAGATCTGTGTTTGAAGAAGTGCAGCCAGAGTGTTCCTTGGAGGCCAAGATGGCCAAACTTCATCTCTCATACTTCGGACATATTGTCAGGAGGGACCAGTCGCTGGTAAGGTGGAGGGTCAGAGAAAAAGAGGAAAACCCCCAGCAAAATGGATTGGCCAAGTGGCAGCATCAATGGACTCAAGTGTGGCAACAGTAGTGAGGTTGGCCCAGGATCGGGCACTGTTTCGTTCTGCTTTGCATAAGGTCGCTATGGGTCAGTACCGACTTGATGGCACCTAACAACAACATATGCTGGAAAGACTCCTTTTCCCATTAAGTAGACTTAGCACCCTTACACCTTTGTCAAAAATCAATATAATCATATAGATGTATGGATTTATTTCTGATTTTCATTTGTATTTAATTGACTTCACACTGGACTGCTAACCAAAAGGTCAGCAGTTTGAATCCACCAGTCGTTCTGCAGGAGAAAGATGAGGCTTTCTGCTCCTGTAAAGATTTACAGCCTTGGAAACCCTATCCAGGGTTGCTATGAGTTGGTTCTGCGTTGACAGCACACCACAACCACCACCAATATGTCTGTTATACCAGCACCAAATGGTTTTAATTACTGTAACTTTACAGTAAGACTGTAAAGACTGTAACTATTACAGTAAGACTGCCAATAGCATATTTAGATCACAATGTATGTGAAGAAATGTGTTGTTGTTAGGTGCCATCAAGTAGTTCCGACTCATAGCAACATTATGCACAATAAATAGAACAAACACTTCCTGGCCCTGTACCATCCTCAGAATTGTTACCCTTTTAGCCCATTACTGCTGCCACTGTGCCAGTCCATCTCATTGGGGTCTTCCTCTTTTTCATTGACTCTCCACTTTACCAAAATAATGTTCTTTTCCAGGAACTGGTCCCTCCTGATAACATATCCAACGTATGAGAGATGAAGTGTCACTACTTTGGATTTTAAGAAGCGTTCTGGCTATACTTTTTACTGTACAAATTTGTTTGTTCTTTTGGTAGTTCATGGTACTTTCAGGATTCTTCTCCAACACCATAACTCTAATTCATTACTTTCCAATTTCACAAGCATATGAGGCTATGGAAAATACCAGGGCTTGGATCAGGCATACTTTAGTCCTCAAACTGAGGTTTTTGCTCTTGAACACTTTGAAGAGGTCTTGTACAGCAGATTTACCTAGTGTAATACATCATCTGATTTCTGGACTGCTATTTCCATGAGTGTTGATAGTGGATCCAAGCAAAATGAATTCTTTGGCAACTTCAATCTTTTCTCCATTTATCATGATGTTATATATTGGTCCAGTAGTGAGGATATTTGTTTTCTTTACATTGAAGTACAACCCATATTGAAAGCTATAGTCTTGATCTTTATCAGTAAGTATTTTAAGTCCTCTTCTCTTTCAGCAAGCAAGTTTGTGTCATCTGCATATTGCAGGTTGTTAATGAATCTTCCTCTAATCCTATGCCACTTGCTTCTAAAATTAATCTAGTTTCTCAAATTTATTTGCTCAACATACAGATTGAATAAATATGGTGAAGAACACTACCCTGGTGCATATCTTTCCTAATTTTAAACCATCATTGTACCCGAGTTCTGTTTGAACAGCTGTCTCCTGGTCCATGTACAGGTTCCTCATGAACACAATTAAATGTTCTGGTACCGATTCTTCTCAATGTTATCCATAGCTTGCCATGATCCACAGAGTCGAAAGCCTTTGCGTAGTCAATAACATTCAGAAGTAGTCCACCTCTCCTTCTTCCTAGTCTGTTTTAGTCTGGAAGCTCAGCTGTAACCTGTCTACCCTGCTTTTATTAAAAATACTTGTGACGTAGCTTCCAGCATCACTGCAACGTGCAAGCCACCACAGTACGACAAACTGATAGATGAGTGGTGGGTCTTTCTTATTGTTGTTGTTGTTAGGTGCCATCAAGTCTGTACTGACCCACAGCAGAACGAAACACTGCCCGATCCTGGACCAACCTCACTAACTGTTGCCACGCTTGAGTCCATCGATGCTGCCACTTGGCTAATCCATCTCATTGGGGGTCTTCCTCTTTTTCTCTGACTCTTCACCTTACCAAACATGATAACCTTCTCCAGTGACTGGTCCCTCCTGACAATATGTCTGAAGTATGAGAGATGAA